CCTACGGCTCCAATGTCAAAAACGACACCCAAGGCTGTCCAAAACTACCTTCTCACCTTACATACAAACCGATTCTGAGGAAGATTTACATGAAATTTGTTAAACGAAATTTATAAAATTTTTTATTAAAATTAATTACATAAAAATTAAAAATTAAATTAATAAATTAATTTTTTTTATTATATAGATTAAGTATACAAATTTTAATATGTTTTTTGGATAAGTACTTTTAACAAAATTTTTTAGTACATCTTCTTTTTTTGACATGTCTCACTAAATTAAGCTTCGACTAAATCTACTCTTACCAAACCCAAAAATGCATCAACAAAATTAATAGTTGAAATTTGTCCAATTAGAGTAATGACAAAATTTCTGTTAAAATTAGTGGATTAAAAAGCCTTGTTTTTAGAAAGTACTTATTCCCTTTATCCCATTATTTTAATTTATCTTCATTAGGAGTTTAGAATTTTAGCAATCAAGACACACAAGCTCTTATCAAGATTAAGGATTAAAAAAAATAAAAAATTCAAATTTTAATTTAAAATTATAATGTTCGATTTTAATTTGAATTGATTTTTTTATTCGATTTGAATTATGTTCATATATTAAATATATATTAAATTTATATCAAATTTTGAATTAATATGTAAAAATTTTAAAAAAATCAAATTAAATTAAATTATATATTTTTAAATTTTTATATATTTTTTAAATTTTTATAAAATAAAAATAATAATTTATACCAAAATTTACTTAAATATATTAAAATTATATATTAAAATAATATGTAAAAATTAAAAATTAATAAATCAAATTAAATCAAATCTATAAAATTGATTCGACTTAATTTTAATGAAATAAAAATTTAATTCAATTTTAAATTAAATTTTAAATTTTTATAATATTATACAATATTTAAAAAAATCTAACAAAAAAAAAAGTCAACCTAGTGCACGTTTCTAATCAAACGGTGCACATTAAATTGGCCCCGCTATGAACCCTTTTCAGTATTGACAATTCAATGGTTCCACTGATCGGACAAGACTTAGCTAAGGCTTTTTTAAGTAAAATTTATAAATTTTTTAATTAAAATATTTTATTTCATAAATTGAATATGTGAATTAAAAAAATAAAATTTGATACATTTTTAAATAAATATTTTTAATAAAAAATTTAACAAAATATTCATTGTTGAATAAGTAATTATTAAATTTGAATTATAAAATTTTTAATAATTTTTATAATTAATGATTTTCTCATTAAATTTTATTAACTATTGTTTTCATTTTTTTATTGTAAATTTTATTAAATTATTTTTAATAAAAAATTCACATACTTAAAAAAAAAATTTTCATACAAATCTTTTACCCACTGACCATCCCATAAAAATGGCAGCCGCCCTAACTCTCATCCTTATCAGAAAAATGGTCCAGCCCAGCCATCATTAGCCCCGCCGTTCCCGGGCTAAATTCTTGAACCTCTTGGCGGGAAACAATCCCTAAAATTTGTACCCTAGATCAATTTTCCCGCCTAAAAAAACCCGGGCAGACGCCCAAAGGAGTGGGAGAGACTAAAAATAAAAAAATAAAAACCGCGTCAGAAAAAGAAAGCCAATGATTGGTCTGTCAAATAGGTAGGGTACTACTCCTGCCATCATTAATTTATTTTTATGTTAAAATCTTCTTTCTCTTAGCTTTGGATTCCCTGGTATTTTTGTACATTGGATTCTCCCTTTTTTTAAAAAAAAATTTCTCAACGTTGTTTTAGACCAAATCTTTTATTTTCTTTCTACATTAATTATTTCAAACCCAACCCATTATTTAGGTCGAGAGAACTTTTCTTTAAAAAAAAATCTTGTAAAGTGTGTAATGTAGTAATGCATTTAAAGTCAATAATGTTGAAGTTGAAGTTATTTTATGGGGAATTTTTTTTTTTGGGGTTTTTTTTAATGGAATGGAAAGGAATGGACATTGATTTTGTCATTGATTGAGCCTTTAAACCAGATCAACTAGTAGGTCAATTGATTGACAAATTAAAGGAAATAATAATGTTATGGAATGTTAGATTTTTAATTTTAATAATCAAAATTTAATTTTTGATAAATTTAAATATATAAAAAAATCTCAATAAAATTTTAATTGAAGGAAAATGTTAGTAAAAAGTATCTATTAACAGCTTCTAAGATAATGTTTATAAAAAATGGAATTAAAGCATTGGTTTTAAAAAATAATAATAATGAAAACAATACATTCAATGAAAAATATTTTTTAATATAATATTTTAATTAACATTAACGAATATTTATAAACATTATTTAATGGAACCCTTAGTTGAATTATCAAATGTTTGACAAATATATATATATTGTAGTTTTTATAAAGATTATCGTGCACAAGGGACAGGATATTATACACGGTAGTCAGAAATGCACCATCTACTAAGTATTCTATATTGGTTGAAGCTCGCAATGGTTTTTCAAATTTTCCCTCTCATCATCTTTAGCTAATACAATCTGCCTTTAATCCAAAATAATAAGGTATTATGTCTAGCCAAGATTGGTTCCTTCTATTGGAAGAAAGTGAAGCCCAATGATTCTGACCATTTCAACTCACTAGTTTAGATAATTTAATCAATGGAACAATGCTAAAAAATTCCAATTCAAATAGAAACTAACATATATATCTTTGGTTTGGATTCCAAAATTAACATTTATATATAAATATATATTTTTTAATTTTTATATGATAACTTTTTTTGTACCAAAAGTTTAAATATACATTAATCGTATTATAAAAAATAGCTTTAATAGACAACATTATGGTGATGAATACTTTATTTATCCAGGTGAATTTGATCAAATCAAGGCTTATTATTGAGATCATAATCATGAGAAGAGAGCATTAGAGTTAAACAATGGCGAATGGTTGATGGTTTTTTGTATTTGGTCTCCACAGAAAAGAAAAAAATAGTAAATCAAGAAGTAGCCCAAACTAGGATTTGGTGAGAAGCATTCAATCAGGACAAGCAGAAGTCATTCAGCTGGATCTTATAGCTATAGCATTTTTTTTTTGTACAAAAAATCTGAGATAAATAGGTTGTTCATACTCAACGATTTATGATAAATAATTACAAATCATGTATTCGAAATAATTTTTTAATAAATAATCACTAATAAAACTCGAATATAAAACTTCTTCGTAAAAAATGATAAGCCTTAATTAATTAAGATATCACTTAATAGCTATAGCTTTATTTAAGAGTAAGCGGTGAGTCCATTTACTATAAGACAAGAGCAGTTATTTTCATTGCTCAATACAATTTCTTTTTTTTTTTCTTTCATGAAACCTTTTTCTTTAAATTAGAGTAAGGCAAAAAAACTTTTCCTTTTTCTTTGAATTTTGGATTGTCAAAAAGAACAAAAGGACGCCCTTAAAAAGCCATTGATTCTACAGCTGATTCAAGATTTTGAAAGATTAATTGAATTTTTTTGGTAAAGAGTTGTTAAATTCACTGATATACAAATAACAACAACTGAGGTAAATAAAGTTAGTAGATAAATCTTTTGTTTCCCATTAGGGGACAACAGGAAAAGCCATAAGTAATCAAGTAAAAGAAACCTAATACAAACAAACTAAGTTCATGTGACATTTATTTACACAACTAGGGTAAAAATGTAGTATTAGAATCTGAAAAAGTTTGAACTCCTATTTTAACTCAATTTCAAAATCTGCAACTCTTCTTCTATTCTTGGAATACGGTTTCTTTGTAAAAAAGAATCGAAAAATTTTAGACCTTGAAATTTTTAGTACAGCTTTACTGCTTTATGTTTTCATAAAGGGAACCTAATCCCTAGAAAAGGCTTTGTTTAATATGCAAAGAAAACCTTAAGATAAGGTTGAATCCCACTCTCCACTCCATTATCAGCCTTTAGACAAAACCCTTGATCATGCTTAGGATATCCAGTCTACTCCACTGTAAACAAATATGGGTGTTTTTTTTTTTATATGATAAACATGCCTGAAAATCTTATCCACTATTCATACATCAGCTTTGAAATAAATAAAAGCCTAAGTTCACAAGCTGTACTTTCCATCAAATGCTTTGAAAAAAATTATACCCTCTTCCAGTCCTGCATTGGATTCCATGATTTTAACTTGATGAAAACTGAAAAACACAAATTTCCCATAGTAAACATTACAAATATAATCAAACAACTTTGAAACCTGTTGATTTAAAGCCTAAAGAGTTTAAAGAGTTTCTCGTTGTCAAAAAAACAAAATCCCCACATTGGATTCTAATCCACCACTCGATTTTTCTGTCATTTTACAATCAGAGAAAGCATTAGCACTTAGCACAGCAACTTGGGGTTTGCCATGGAGATCCAGGGGAGGGGTGGGTCAGGTTTAAACTGGTGTTTGGGCTCTTAAAGATTAGGAGGAAAACGAGGGATTGGTCAGTCAATCACAAAATTATGGTTTGAAGCATCCGTGCAGCATCATTCTCAGCCATGTAAAAGATTTACACAATAAATGTATTTCTTGGGACAACTTTTGGAGTTGGGTATGCAAAACCCCCATTGTACTATAGACGTGCGTGTGTGTTTTTTTTTTTTTTGTGTACAGTCACAAAAAGAGAGAGAGTTGAAAGAAAATTGGAGTAAGTGCAGGATTGAAATAAAGATTCCTTGACAATACATATTTTTTTACTGAAAACATCTATGCCAATCATTTACTGAGAGCCTGCCTCGACGAGTGAATGGAGTAAAGAATTTGATGACGAAAGAACAGTCGAAGCTTATGATGAATTATAGACTGTGGTGAAGCAATTTTTGAAGGCACTGGTCACTGGTCAGTGGCTAAACCTGGAAAAGAGAACCACTTTCTTCCTTACAAGTTAGTACTTCATACTATATAGTACAAGATTCTCTAGCTAAACTTGAATGACCAAAAACCTCCAATAATTCTAACCAAAAAACCAAATTTTTTTATTTTCATATCACCACCAATCTTATAATCTTCAAGCTTCAATTCAAACATTTAATGCAGTACATGAAATTTCATAATCCAAAGCATTCCAATACAAGCACCAAGTAAGAGATAAAAGTATGAAGTATGAAAGAAATAAACTAACTAAACTACACTACTCATTTCATAAAAATATCATATCTTATCTTTGTACACCTTTAACTCATCTCCACTATAGAGCTTGGAGGAGTTACTAATGCAAGAAGACCGAAAAAGGAAAGGAAAAAAGAAAACACAACAAAACCTCCTAACTGAAAAACTCAAACTTTTACTCTAAAAAAAAAAAAAAAGGTAGTTTCAAACTCAATTTGCTTTCTCAACATGGCGCTTGAATACTGTTTCCAAATCAGGAGGAGTAAAGAACTCCCTAACTCCACTATAATGGCATCTTGAAGGAGGCCTCCGCTTTCTTGGAGCTGGAGGGCAAGGCAATTTGTCTGGTATTCTTGCTTCTTTTGAAGTTGGGGTTGTTGAAGCTTCTTCTTCATCTTCTTCATTTTCTTTCCCTCTTGATTTTGTGTTTATTGGCTCCAATAAAGTCCTTATAGCGATACCAGCTATTACCCATTTCTTCCCTTTAGAGTCTAACACTCCATCTAGTTGGTGCTTTTTGGAGAACCCCATTTATAATCAGAACAGAAGAAGTGATTTTGAAGCACAAACAGAGAACCCAAGGTGAGAAAATGGTTAGTGTTTATGAGAATGGCTGGAAACAGAAATCCAACAGAGGAATCCAAGTGAAAGGAAACAGAGCCAAAGCAGGGGAAAAGCTGTTGTCTTTGACTGAAATCAACCAAAAAAAATGAAAACAAAGAAGAGGAAAAAGATGCGTTTTTTATCAAAGGAATGAAAACAAATGAAGAAGCAGAAAGAACATAGAATAAAAGAAAAGGAGAGAGCTTCGAATGAGGGAAAAAGGGAGAGCTTTTGACAACTGAAAAAAAAAATAAGAAAGAGAAGTTCATATTAAGCTTTGATTTCTTAAAAAGAGATTGGAGAGAGGGAGAGAGAAAGAGGGGCGGCTGCCCGGAAATTTACGGGCAGCCGAAACCGAGTGAAGAGAACTCTTTTGGCGCCAAAATTTGGTAGTCGAATGAACAACGGCTCTTTTTCCCGCCGAGATTTGTGTGGGTTTCCGATTTTACCCTTTGTTTTGACATTATTGATTTCTAGGAGGAAGTGATGCTGCCATTCAGGGCACAATCACCGCCGTGCGGGCAAAAGGAATTTACGCACGACGTCGTTCAGTGTAGTAGCAAAGTTCAAATATTTTCTTTTATATGAATCGTAGTGTCTATTTAAATTGGCGATAAGATTAATTTTTATAAAATTAAAAATAGTGCTAAAAATAAAATTTATTATTGTAGTGATGATATATGTTTAAATATAAATGCTACGGTAATTATGAGAGGAAAAATAATGAAAAAAAACTATTATTAAAAATATTAAACTAAAGTTTTTATGCAATAAAAATTTTAAATTATTTAATATTTTTAAAGTTTGTAAATAATTGAAAATTATTAAAATTATTTATTCAATTTATTATTTATTTATTTTACATATCTATTCAATTTTTAATTTTTTTATTAAGTAGTTATCCTATAAGTATAAAAAATTCTTTATTATATTAAATTAAAATTTTATTTAAAAAATGCTAAGTAAAAAAAAATGTTGTGGTATGAGCACTTGTCTCTACAATATTAAAGAAAAAAAAAAGCATGAAATATAATAGGAATTGACATTACAGCTAAAAATTCAAAATCTTCACTAGACCTTTGAGCTCGAATGAGAAATTAAGACAGTAATATCACTATAATCAATTGATCTAAATGAGATTTAAGTGTGATTGAAAGTATTAATCACACCACACCACAGCCATTTTGGAATTCAAATGAACTCTAAATCATTCATATGTAACTCAAAAAAGAAAAAAAAATTGCATCAGTTTTTTTTTTTTTTAAATTAAAAATTATAATTTTGAAATTTCAAAATTGAACAAGTTTTCTTCAATAAATTCAATATTGATTGACTAGTTATGACCAATATTAATTGTGCATGTTTGGACTAAAAGGAAAAGAAAAAAATGGTTCGTACGTCAAGGGAATAAGGAATCCTATCCATTTCCTTCTGGTCGATGAGTAAATCCTTCGAGGGATTTTATAGACAACATATTCAACTTTTATTTTAAAAAAAAAATCGTAATTTAAAAATAAAAAAATTATAAATATTGAAATTTAAACATCAAATATATTAGATATTATATTTTAAAGTGATTGTATTACGGAGTTAAATTTTGAATTTAATTTCCGAACATGTTTATAACCATTATCAATAGTACTGTATTCAACGAAATTCAATGCTGGAATTTTCATATATGAGTAATATAAAGAATTTAATGTTAAATTACTCTAATATTCCAAGAAAATTGAATTTGCTTCATTTATAAAGCTAGTGTCACTATAGTTCTAGATTTCAGCCCTGAGTAAAAGAAAATAATTTCTCTTTATTCTCTGCTTTACCAATCGACCTAACATTTATAACATTAATGTGGTAAAAGAAAATGCAGTCAAATTTGTCAAATTTTAGTTGACATGGGAATTATTCACACTATTTTTCTTTTTTTTTTATTACTATATTTCTTTCGTCATGGACTAAATAATTTTGTTTGTTGCGTACACGATAAATAAATAAATAAATAAACAAATAACTTTAAAAATATGGTATTAATATTTCCTCCATAAATTTTAAATATTCATTTTATCATACAAACTAAAATAAAATTTTTGTTGCATTTTCTTATAAGGGCAAAATGTGTCATACTCTATAAAATCATGCATTTGATATTAACCTTAACAAAATGTCAATGATAGGATTTATACCCAAAATCACTTATATCGAACGATTAAGGTTTCATTTGGATTTTTCCACACATCAAAAATGTTGTTTTGCCATTAGATCCTAACTCAAAATTACTTATGTCAAGACGAGAAAATTTATCGATTAAGATTTATTGTATTGAAATTGTTGTTTTATCATTGAACCTTAAGTCAACTTTTTATTGATAAATTTAAAACTTAATTATTACAAACTTAATTTAGTTTGTATAAAAAATTAAGACACATGAAAATAGAAAGCAATGGTACAAAAGACATAACAAATTTACTTGGATGTGGTTGGCAATAAGAGCAACAATGAGGATGATCAATTCAAAGAAGAAAACAGTCAAATGAAAATAAATTTTGGAGAGTACATTGATTTCATGTACGGAACAATGCAAATAGGAATAGCAACCTTTATTTTTAAGATATTTGTATTCGAAGTTGTTTAATATATACTTATAATATCTGAATTTATTTAAATATTTATTTAAGTTTAATATCATTATCAAAATTCAAATTCATTTAAAAAAATACTATCATTTAAATATTTGAATCCGTTAAAATATTCATTTATTTAAAATTTTTATCAAAATATAAAATAAACAAAAATTTAATTTAAAATTTAAGTTCACTCTTAATTAATAATAATAAAAATTATTTTTTAAAGTTTCAAATCTTTTACAAATATAAAATATTATATATTATATATATAAATGGGTAATAAATTCGGATATTCATTATTATTTATTAAAATTTAAATGAATTCAAATATTAAATATTTAAAAAATATTATCCATATTTGTTTCGAATCTGTCACAGATAATAAATTTTTTATCTGAATTCGTTAATTATTCATTTATAACTATTCAAATATAATATAAATAAATTGAATAATAACAAATATCCATTTATTTACTATCTTGAGTGCAAAGCCGAAAGGAACGTTCTAAGTTGTCACTTATGTTTCATATTTATGGTGTGAAGCATGCTAACAAAAATGACGACATTGTGTTGGCTTGGCCACCTTGGTGGTGGGGGGCTGGTGGGCGGTGGTTAATGGACTGCATGGCCAACCCCAGCCAGCCTTAAGTCCTTAACCACCATTGATCCAAAAAAAGAAACAAAGTTCATTAATACTAGTAGTATACTAGAGAGCTGACATGCAAGGCTCCACCTATATCTTTAGGCTGGCCGCCACCCCATACTCTGTGAGGGTACTGTAATCACAAGCTTGTCTTCTCATTTGCATCCGAATGTTAATAGTTTAAAATATGATATATCTCATATTAAAAAAAAAAAATTTAATTATTGATTAATAAAATTAATTTTTATATTAATTTTACTTATATTTTAAATAATTATATTTGAATAGAAATAAATATTATATGACAAATGATCATAACTATTTGAATTTAAATAAATTATTATTCATAAATATCATAATTATATAAAAAATTATAACCATTTGAATAAAAAATTATATCTATTAATTTATTATATATAAATTTTTTAGTATAATCATTTTTATTACTTCTAATTAGAGAATTTGAGATTTTGTTATATTTTAAAAGCATAATTATCTTTTAAAAAGTGTTTCACGTCTCAAAACCAAATTTTTTATTATTTATTTATTTTTTTTCTAATAATTTAAAGACAATTATACCTTTAGGAAGATACAAGAAAAAAAAATTGACATGATTTGGATATCAATATTAGAGAAGACTCAACGTATCAAATGATTAATGTTTCTATTGATCAAAATATTAATTTTTATAAAAATCTTCATTAGAGGTATGTATTTTATTTTTTTGCATAATTGCTAGTAAAAAAATTAACTGAATGAGATAAACACGTTAATAATTTATTTTATTAGTGTATAAAATCAAAATAATATGTAAACTATTGATTATATTACATAAGTTTATGCAGATACTAAAATTGACTTCATAATTGTGTTTAATAAATTGTATTATATTTATTTAAAAATTTGATGCTTACAAAGATTATGACGAAAAATAGTCTGAAAATGTAAAAAAAAAAAAGATATAAATTGATTTATGACCAAAAAAATTATCACTTGTTATCAAGTAACGAATTAAATTAAATTCTAATGGAATGACCAATTGTTTAATTGTCATGTCTTGGTTATATATAGAACATGCAAATTGTCCCATAGTTTCTATGAAAACAATCAGAAATGGGTAAAGAAATTTATCATGAGAAATTAGATGCAAGTAAAGAATATATGTAGAAAATAAGATTTGGCTACAAGATTGTCTTGTTATTAAATCATGGCACAAAAATTGAGATAATAAGTTAAGTCAAGCTATTTATATGATTCTATCTTTGTTGGTTGTTTATAAATCAAATGTTGATATATATAGATATTTAAAATTTATTATTGGATCAAATTTTGACTAGTGTTTAATTTTCATGAAAATCAATAAAAATTAAATTGATATATGTAAATAATTATTATTAAGATATGGTGTTTCATGGATTAATTGGTGAATAATAAACCAAATAATTGTTATTATAAAAAACATAAGCAGTGTGATATGTATTTTGCTTGCTGGGTGTATTACACTAGAAGTGATTTTATAAAAAAAATCATAAAGTGAAAATTATAAATAGCCATCAAAGAGTTAAACAATGGTTACAAAAAAAAAAGCATTATTGCTTTTCGTATAAGAGATATTGATTAAACAAAAAGGCACGTCATTAAAAAATATTAAAGCATTTGTCGGTTACTAACATTTTGAAAGATGCTCATCAATGTTTAATTAGGCATGTTTATAAATTAGAAAAGAACATGCAAATTCAATGTTCTAAAGGCACCAATACATACATGTGTTTAATTCCATTTTGTTATAGCATGGAGAACATTGATATAGTTTGTCATAAATAAAGAAAATGAATTGAATGAGATGAAATTTTTTTTCTTATACATATAAAAAAGATATAGACTATGAAGATAGAATGCCATCATCCAATTAATATATTATTAGTTAAAGACAATGAATATATTTTTGCTTCTTGTACCCTAA